AAATAACACATAACACGTATAAATGTTGTTGTTAAATTTGTTTGTTAATTTTTAAAACAATATTTTTTCAGTATATATTTTTTTGTTTTTATTTTTTAAAATGTACTAAATTCTGTTTCATAAATCATATATAACATTATAAATATAGTAATTAATTAATGGCATTTCATAATTCATTATTTTCTTAATGATATATATGAAATTATAAAATTATATACGAAATATCTTTTATATGAACAATGTTTTGACTTGGGGCGCCTTATGTCAAAAAAGTTTGTGAGAACACCTGATATAAAAATTGTTTCTTTTGTAAAGAGAATAATAAAAATCATATATTGAAAATTATCTATATATAATAATAAACAAGATTTATAATATAAGTAAATAAAAGATGATATGTTATATATTGCGTAAAAAAAATAAATATTATTAAAAACCTAAGTCATTTTTTGTTATTAAAAACTTATTATTTCGCAACAAAAATAGTGTCATTGCATTTTGATTTCTTTTTAAAGGAATTCATATTGTGGTAAATTTATATACTTGTGTTCTGCGTTCGACTGTGTTCGACTCGAACGTTGAATTCAAGTTTGATATGATAGAATAAAAAAGGGTGTTTGTCAAGAAATATTAAGATATTTCCAAGGAACTAGATTAAAATTCAAATACGGATACACGTAATTGCGAAGACTGTCATCATAATCAGTGGCAGTCATTATAATGAAATAAATATTAATGAGCAATGGTCATTTTTTATCTATTTTGCTTATTAGTGATACACGCAAGTGTTCTTAAATTTTGCACCAAAAAGTCAGATATAACACGTCCAAATACAAATTGTGAATATGTGTGATCATAAACGACACTAGAATGAGTACTAACTAATCTTACTAGAGGATAATTTATCTATTTGTTTATATAAAAAAAACTTTAATATTTTTTTATATGCGTGCTATACGTATATAATGGTTGGATAAAATACTATTTTGTTGAACTTTTATAGCAGATGGCAAAAATGAAATCGAAGATTTACTTATTTATAATTAAAATTTAAATTTTAAGAAAATGACCCAAAACTTTGATACACATTGATTAAAGCATAATCAAACGAATTCATTGTCACTCAATCTTAATGTCGAATGAGAAAACGTTCCACAAAAATGTTTTGTATTCGAACCTTTTAGTTACAGATTTAGTGAATTTAATAGGATACTGCCCAAATATATTGGAAAAATATGGACATCAAGACAGTACCTATATTTTTAAAAACTGACAATTCTTTTGTACGGGAGTTATAATATGTTATTGTCTTTGGAATGTTACAACCGTTTAAAAAACATCTTACTGCATCATGATATTTCTAGCTATTTCGCAAAACGTGATGTATTCTATAGGTTGTGGTTGTATTTAAGGTGAAAATTCAGTTTTCTTTGATAATACATTAATTAGAAATATTTTTTTCTATTTTCTCAATCTCCTTTTCACATCAGATTTCTCAACACCAAATAAAATAACTATTACTACATTTGCACATGACACCGCACAAATGTATTTTAATACAGGATTAAATCAGATTGAACAATGTTGAATCATAGACAGACGTATTAAAGCCAAGAAAACGTAGAGGTGACATGAGTCTATGTCAACTTTACGGCGAGGAAACATCAACGTTTTAGATTTTATTAAATTTAATATCTAAATAATACTATGTTAACCAATACAATAATATTTTCCCAGGGGCAACAATCAGAATAAAATATGGAAAAGCAAAAATGCGGGGGACTGTCATCCTTGGAGCAGTAATGTGATTTGGCCAAGGAAATAATAATTAACAAAGATACCGAAATATAAATTTTAATATTGAAGCGTCGCTTGGATAAATTAAAAACAGAAGAAACTCATTTCTAAGAAACGATAAAGCTAATCAGATATCAGGTTCGGAACATGTATAATCCTATACAAGAACCGCCACCGGCACCTTTTGAAAATGTTCATAGAGAGTCATTGCAAATATTACCAGAAGGTATATTACCATTAACAATGCTGGTCCATCGTCTAATAAAGTAATTCAAGTATTGTTAATTATATGAGGCTACAATATTCGAGGCTGTAAATCATCTGCAATCATGTTAAAGAGGTTGCAATATCCCTCAGGTTGCATTTAAATACATTTCAGCACAATTTGTAAAAACTTTTGTTCAAATATTAATATAATATTTTTCCAGTGTAAAATAACTGAGGAACTAAGCTTTGAACAGCTTTCCTTCTAGTAGAATATTGTAGTTTCTGACCAATCGCCAGCCGGGCAATAAACCAGTCATGGAAGTAAGTTTCTGGGTATTAGGATGCAAAATTTTTCGAATTTTCCTTTCCTGAAGGTACCTGATGTATCCCTTCCACAAGATATCCTAGTGAGTACATGACGTTCTTGTTACTCCCATCAGCAGTTACAACTCGCACCTTGAGTAGTCAAGTTATCTTCATTTCTTCGTTTCTTGTACTCTGTTCAAGTAAAGAAAATAATCTACAATTGTAGCTTATATATTATAGTAGCATGTTTGTAGTTTGTACTTCATCGCATTAACTTCAGCAATGGGTAAGTATGTTTGCTTCTATGATCATTACAAATTATCAATTATATATTTATGTTAATGCATGAAACTAATGTTAATTAGATACAAATAATCAGATTAGTCAAGTCAAGTCATTCCATTAATTATAACGTGCAAATAGAATTATAAAATTAAATGCAATCTGATCAATACGTTTATTTTTTACAGCTTTTTTGGACTCCAGGCAAACAGATGAGTCGTGGCTCCTAATGTATTTTGAAGGCAAGTTTGATATAGTAAAACGGAGCAGAGTGTTTTACGAAAAAGAAGAAGATATTGTCCAAGGAGCAACAGTAACAATCAAATTTGGAAAAGTAAAAATGCGGGGGAATATCGTCATAATCAATGGTAACTAATTTCTATTCTTCATATTTATTTAAACCATTAACAATTACTTTTTTATGCAGATTCAAAACAATATATTGAAGAGAATTTGGAGGAATTGCGTGAAAAACATTTAAAAGAAATATCACATAATTCTAAGGAACGTAGTCGCTCATCCTCTAATAAAAAGCAGCATTGCAATGAGATCAGGAAAATGAATAAGGAAATTTTAAAGATCAAACGTCGCGTGCAAGAATTAAAAGAAGAAAACTGTAAAATGGAAGAAACGCTAAATTTTATCAAGGGTGTGTCTTCGAATCCTGCACAAAAACCTCAAGCAGCTTGTAATGTGACGGTAACAATGGAGAAGGATGAACAAGTCGTTAAATTTGGACCAAATCAAAGTGTTATACCATATAATACGTATAATAAAATTAGTTGGAAGACCCCATCTGCTGCAACAAGAGGTTTGTTGTCAGCATTTTTTAGCCATAAAACATTGGCAACACATAACATGACAGGAAAACAGAGTAATGCATCGAAAGGGAAGAAGCGAATAGTTAAAGCGATGTTGGATCCGGAAAAGATTGCAGACATTATATGTTTAGTAAGTTCCAAGTGTTCCGTAGCTGCAAAAGTCGTTAGAAATTGCATTAGCTCAAAATGCGCGGATGATAATAAAATGTACAAAAAACGTATAAAGAAGGAAGCATTAGATGAAGAAAGTGATGAATACGGAGAAGATAGTGATAGTGATAGTGATAGTGATAGTGATAGTGATAGTGATAGTGATAGTGATAGTGATAGTGATAGTGATAGTGATAGTGATTCTTGATTTTGTATGTTGTATTTGCTAGATCATCGCAATTATCGCCAGAACGAATATTACCATTAAAAATGCAAAATGTACATCACCGTCTAATGAAGTAATTCAAGCAATGCCAATTTGATGAGGATACAATTATTATTTCGTCACTGTTGAAATACCAAAATAAAAAAATATACAAAATAAATAAATTTTAATGAAATGTGCATTTTTATAATTTTAATAATAATATTTTATTGGGCAAATTATTTTTATATTAAATATTGTTTCTCCAAATATTGTAATAATAAATATTATTTCAAAAAATTTATATGTACGATATTAGAAGTGAAAGTTATGATATGATCGAATAAAGGTAAATTTTAAAAATAAATAATTATAGATGAAACTTATTGTAACGAATTCATTGTCACTTTTTCCAAATTTGTTGGAAAATATGAACCTTTAAAGCTTTTCACACCAACAAGATATTCCTAACATTAGCTAAAGATATATTCCAAGTGAAATGATGTTTTTCTTAGTGCATCTATTTCACAAAAATTTTATGATCTAATGTATTTTCATTCACTATTATAGTAACATAGGAAAACTGTTGAACTAAAGACTGGCGTATTAATGCCAATAAAACGTACTAGACTTAGGTCAGCATTACTGTGAGGAAAGAAACTTTAAATAACAAACTGTGGATTATGTAAACCATCTTGAAAAATATATATATATACAAATTGCATCATTTTAGTCTTACCACATATATTTAATTACCGAAATAATACAATGTTAGCTAGTACAGATGTTGAGTGTCCCATTTACTTAGCTATTGTAAAAAGTTAATTTTATGCGTAATTTTCCTAAAATCATGAGATACAAAATTGAAACATGATATTTATTATCTAGAATTATTATTACAAATAAATCATAAAAAAGTATTTATAATATTCTCGAAAAATTCAATATAATATATTTTGTTCAAATATTCATATAATATTTTTCCAGTGTAAAATGACTGAGGAACTAAGCTTTGAATAGCTTTCCTTCTAGTAGGATATTGCAGTTTCTGATCAAACTCCAGCCGGGCAATAAACCGGTCATGGAAGTAAGTTTCTTAGTATTAGGATGCAAAATTGTTCGAATTTACCTTTCCTAAAGGTACCTAATGTATCCCTTCCACATGAAGTTCTAGAGAGTACATGACGTTCTTGCTACTCCTATCAGCAGTTAAAATTCGCACCTTGAGTAGTCAAGTTAGCTTCATTTCTTCGTTTCTTGTATTCCGTTCAAGTAAAGAAAATAATCTACAATTATAGCTTATATATTATAGTAGCAAGTTTGTACTTCATCGCATTAACTTCAGCAATGGGTAAGTTATGTTTGCTTGTAGTATCATTACAAATTATCAATTATTTATTTATGTTATTGCACAAAACTATTGTTAATTAAATACAAATATTCAAATTAGTCAAGTTTAAATTCTAGTGGACTATATTCCATTAATTATAACTTGCAAATAGAATTAGGAAATTAAATGGAATCTGATCAATACGTTTATTTTTTACAGCTTTTTTTGACTCCAGTCAAACAGATGAGTCGTGGCTCCTAATGTGTTTTGAAGACTCCAAGTTTGATATTATAAAAAGAAGCAGAGTGTTTTGCGAAAAAGAAGAAGATATTTTTCTAGGAGCAACGATAAGAATCAAATGTGGAAAAGTAAAAATGCGGGGGACTGTCGTCAGTATCAATGGTAACTAATTTCAATTACTGATATTTATTTCAAGCATTAACAATTATTTCTTTATGCAGATTCCAAAAAATATATTGAAGAAAATTTAGAGGAAATGCGTGAAAACCATTTAAAAAATATATCACGGAAATCTAGCAAACGTAAAACCTTATGCACGGAGTTGCAGCTACCAAATAGCCGTGATGATGAGGTGCAACACGATTTGGCCGCGGAAATGACGAGTACAGAGAAGGAATTATTAATGTGGAAAAATCGTCTGGCAAAAGAAGAAGCACGAAACGCTTATTACCGAGAACATTTAAACTTTATTGGAATCCAGATTTCGAAAGCTCCAAATAAAGTTCAAAAACCTCCAGCAGCTCATAATTAAACTGATGTGTTGGTAACAATGGAAAATGATGAAAAGGTACTTAAATTTGGACCAAATCAAATAACACGTATAATGCAATTAGTTGGAAGAACCCATCCGTTGCAACAAAAAGTTGTTGTTAAATTTGTTCGTTAATTTTTAAAACAATATGTTTTTAGTATATATTTATATATTTAATTTTCATTTTTTAAAATGTACTAAATTCTGTTTCATAAATCATATATAACATTAAAAATATAATAATTAATTAATGACATATATATGAAATTATAAAATTATATACGAAATATCTTTCATATGAACAATGTTTTGACTTGGGGCGCCTTATGTACAAAAAAAGTTTGTGAGAACACCTGATATAAAAAATTGTCTCTTTTGTAAAAAGAATAATAAAAATCATATATTCAAAATTATCTATATATATAATAATAAACAAGATTTATAATATAACTAAATAAAAGAGGATAAGTAATATATTACGTTAATATATACTTGTGTTCTGCGTTTATAAGATTTCAGATGAGTCTTTAATGATCATTACAGACTCGAACGTTGAATTCAAGTTTGATATGATAAAATAAAAAAGGGTGTTTGTCAAGAAATATTAAGATCTTTCCAAGGAACTAGATTAAAATTCAAATACGGAAACACGTATTTGCGGGGACTGTCAGTATAATCAGTGGCAGTCATAATGAAATAAATATTAATGAACAATGGTCATTTTATTTATTTTACTTATTATTGATACACACAAGTGTTATTAAATTTTGCACATAAAAGTCACAAATAACACGTCTAAATACAAATTGTAAATATGTATGATCATAAACGACACTAAGATGCAACTAGAATGAGTACTAACTAATCTTACCGGATTTATTTGTTTATATAAAAAAACTTATTTTTTTTATATACGTACTATACGTATATAAATGGTTGGATAAAATACTATTTTGTTCAGAAATCGAAGATTTACTAATTTCGAGTTATAATTTACATTTTAAGAAAATAACACAAAACTTTGATACACAATGATTAACCCAACCGCCCAAATATGTTGGAAAAATACGAACACGTTAGCGACAGGATTCTTCCAAGTATAATTATGCACTAACTATTTCGCAGAATATCATCTTTCTTTGATAATACATTAATTCAAAATATATTCTCTAAATCTCCTTTTCGCATCAGATATCCCACCTCCAAATAAAATAACTATTGTTACATTTGCAGACGACACCACACAAATATATATTTTAATATAGGATTAAATCAGATTGAACACTGTTGAACCAAAGACAGACGTGCTAAACTTTAAATATTAACGTTTTAGATTTTATTAAATTTAATATCTAAATAATACTATGTTAACCAATACAGCAATTGTACAGGCAACAAATATATTTAATATATTTTTAATAAATAAAGTTAGTTTTTGGAATAACAGACATAGAGCATGATATATATTATATAGATTTACTATCACATTTAATATAATAACTTTTGCTTAAAAACTAAATTAATATTTTTCATGTGTACATTATCTGTGGAACTAAGCTTTGTACAGCTTTTCATCAAGTAAGATAGAGAACTTTCTGACCAAAAGACAGCCTGGCAATAAACTGATTAAGCAGGTAAGTTTCTTGGTATTAGGGTGCAAAATTGTTTGAATTTTCATTTCCTGCAGGTAGACTACATGAAGTCTAAGAGCTGGGGTGCTCAAACTGTCGATCGCGATCACAAGATGTTTTTAATGGATATTATATTTTTGTTATTTATAACATTCAATTTATAAAAATTACACTAAATATTTAATAGATTGTATCTCATTCCACATTTTATTTAACTTTACCTAGTCGATCACTTGCAGTGTAGATATAAAATGTTTCAGCTTATCGATATTTTTGCAATCAGACTAGTCGTTGCTCCTAATATACTTTGAAGACTCCAAGTTTGATATCGTTAAACGAAGCAGAGTATTATGTGAAAAACTAACATGAAAAATCACAATGATTAAACTTCTTTTATTAGGCTTTTATACGAGTTTAGTGTACTGTGAATTAGGTAAATATTTTGTATTGTAATTAAAAAATATAAATCAATTTGTTTTTAGCTTTTTTTCATCAAGACTTGTAGCAGATCTTCTCTTGATCTGAACACTTGCATTTTGAACAACATCCAAGCTTCAAAACCATACCTTTTCGAAGGTGTTCCAGAGCTTTCTTTTCCCAGTTTGAAGGTAATCGAAACTCCTTACGCCTTCACAGAGTTTGTAGGCTTCCAATTCGGGATTTGGAGTTACAAGCTGACCGGGCTTGAAGACATCGAAGTGACGAAAGTCGATGCGGATTTGAGTAATCATAGAATTTCGGCTGAATTGTTGATCACCCATGGATAAGATGTTGCCAACTCAAAGGAAATGTGTTCAATTTGAAGTTGAACAGTACGAGCCATATTTTTGTGAATGGAAGTAAGTCTATTTTTAGCGAAAGTTTCTATAACTTTTTCAATTCTTATTACAATTTTCTCTCATTTTTTCTACTCCTATTTCAGCAAACGTTTTGGTAAATTATACTATAAATATGATGATCATCGTGAAGCAAGGAGATTTCCACATGTAAATCATTTCGCAGGAAGCTAATGCTTACGTAAATGGATTGTTTTTCATTCACGTCGAGAATTTGTATATAGGAAGTAAATCGTTGACGCATACAATGCACAATATTTTCAACGAAAACTTTCATTACTTGTTTCACATTTTGGAGCCGCTCTTGGGGAACGCATTGATTTCAAATATTTATATACGCTCAATAAAATTGTTGAGTAACACCAAAAATTGGGTTTCTAAAGAAAGTTTTGGAATCCATCTATGGGATTTTGATATAGAATGAATCCGAAACAGATAAAATTGAAAACAAAAAACATGTCTTCGAAATGTAGTGAACCACAGTTTTTTTGAGGATTGGCTATCATTCGAGAAAAAATAGATTGTCTGTTTGTTACAAATCATTGAAATCGAAAGCAAAAGAGAAAGAAACACCGTATCGATGTAAAAAAATATATGTAATCATTTATAGCAACGTATAGCCTTTATCAGATAATTTGATACGAAAGTTGGCAGGTTTGGCATCTCACCAACACCAAACGCAGATATGTCTCAAGTGTCTGAGGTGCGAAAGCTACAAACACACAAAGAACTATTGTTCGAAACAGCTACGCTGTGAAAAATATGTGGACATCAGTATCAAACTAGAGACTCTTAGTATTGCGTATGATTTATTAACAAAGGAGATCTTGAAGCGATTGAAACAACTGGACGGCTCAACATGATTTTGTTCCAACAAAAGGTAGAACAGACAGTTTTGATCAATTATGCTATTAATATATAACAGCAAGAAACATTGTAGAGTTCTCCATTTTATAGCTAATTCTGATTTGACGGTTATGGAATAAAAAAATGGAGCTACTTTTCTAAGTGATTTTGGTTTTTCTTTAGTAAAACCTTACAAGGTCGCCGGTGTTCCAAGTTAATTTAAATTATGTCCATATTCCAAGGATAGAACATAAGGATACAAATTATTGTCAGAAATGTGAAAAATATATTTATGCAGTGCAGCAATTGTGAACTACCAAAAACAATGAAAATTGCAAGTACAGTGATTTTTTAATTTGTAATTTCTAATAGTTCCTAATAAAGATACATTAGTTAAAGATTTTCTCATACATGGATATTGGACATCTTAAATATCCAAATCACTTGAAATGTAATTAATTATTTCGGCAATTATGTCCATGATATTGATGAAAGTATAGAAATATTAACCAACACAAACTAAAAACCATCAAGTTATGTTTGATTTGATTTCGAAATACAATACTGATATGAAAATTGGCAGATTCAAAGCTCAGTAACACCAACAATTGTGTAATTTATTATAATATTGATTTGTTGCAAGTGCTTCCAATTATTTGTTTCCATTTATGTTTGTTTTAATCCGGAAATGGGTTAATTATTTTTTTTATTTCTTCTTCATTTCCATCATTATCCAGCTTTTCATAAGCATCTACCATAGATCGTCTTGATTTTTCAATAGTAATGGAATATATAGACTATATTTCTTTGCTTTTGACTCTTGTGTCTTCTTCATTTCGCATCGGATTACTGATGTTAGGTTTTTGTATTTTATTGTTGATTATATAATTGTTGAAATTCTTTTGTTGTCGTTGAGTACTCACTCACGCACGATTTGTCTTCTCTTGTGTAATTCTCTTATTATTTGCAAAATCTCAATATTTCATGAGTCAGCATTTCGCCACATGTTCGGTTTTTATTAAATAGTTTTTTTTTCTTTTTGACTTTTTTTTATTACTTGGAATCATGAGTACAAGTCATTTTCTTCAATTTTCTTAAGGCCCTTATGGTTGACCTTCGTTTTTTTCTTACTAATTTGTCCGCTATATTTTCTTGATTATATTTATGTATGATTAAATTCGTCGTTTCTGATATAAAATGAATACATTTCTTCTTTGCTTCGTGCCTTTTTAAAAAAATGTGTTCGAATTGTGTTCAGCCACAGTTTTTGCGAAATAGCAAGCATTCGAAAAAGTAGTTTTTGCGAGAAGTTGTAGCAAAATTTATCGCAAATCATTGAAACTCGTAAAATTTGTTTGAAAAATCATAATTTAACAATATTTTAATGAAACAAATAATACATTTGGAATACAAATTATTTTCTCTTTTTATTATCCAACTTTCCTTATTTATATTTATATAGTATGAATTAGGAAATCAAAATTGTATTATTAAATTGAGTTTAATTTTAATTCTTAGAAATATAAATGTTTTGAAATATTTGCAAAATTTACATTTATTGGAAATTGTACATATTTTAATTTGATTATCAATGTTTTTTGTATACATAACTAATATTAATATTATCGATTAATTTATAGATTAAAATAAAAAATTGCAGTGAAATCTTGGTTGACGAACAAAACTTTGGTAGCTTGTAACTGGCGGACGTTAACTGAAATTAAATAAAAGGTGAAGCCGCTTTTTTTAAAACTAGTTTTTTTTAATGCTCAACTTTCACAGCTTATAACAAATGAATGGAGCTCAATACATAGACGTAGTAGGCT